TTCAAGGAGGGCCCTGAGTGAAACAGCAAAACATTTTCATCACAGCAGACGAAAGTGTGCAAGTATTAGTGATAATAAACAGCTATTCTGTCTGTTTGTCAATAGATAACATTAAAGAATTTCGACTCATGACCAAGAAGAGTGGAGAGTCAAAGGGTTGTGGATTTATTGAATTTGGTGACAAGGCTAGTTATTGGGTGAGTGAAATTACTTCCACTGTTTGACGTCCTTCTAATGTATTACATGTTAATAATGATTATATAATGATTTATATAAGTAATTTAAATATATATTATATAATGATTTATGCTTATATAGTTACATCAGTGGTTTTGATTGGTTAATATTTACTTGCATTTGTTTCTGTTTGCACATCTTTTGTTTTAGGTTCCTCGCTATGTAAATTACATAGTTCAGTTTTCTATAATTAACCTCTTAAAATAGAGACTTGAAGGAGTTCCTTTTATTAAGGCACAACTTAATGATCTTTTTAACTTGAACTCTTGGGAAAATGAGCTAATATTCTCCAAACTTTGCCCTTTACTTTACTCTCAACAAGTATCCATACTTGTTATTATCAAAGGCCAAATTGTATATTATTCCTTTCCAGAAAGCACTGAATTTACATCACAGTGTTCTAGCTGGAAGAAAGATAAATGTAGAGGTAACATGTGGAGGCGGAGGTAAAGGAGAAAACAGAGTGAAAAAACTGCAACAATGTAAATTAAAGTTTCAGCAAGGAAGGAAAAGAAGGTCAACAACTTCTACAAAAGTCAAATCAAAACAGAAGGATGATACAAGCTGTAATACATAGACTTGAATTATATTTATTTCATAATAAAAAGAAACTTCTTGTTAAATTATGTCTAATATTGTTTAGTTTTATCTTTTTTCTCTGAAAATGAATTCAAAAAAGGAATTAAATTTACTAGTTTTATTTTTTAATTTTTTTTTGCAACAAACCGAAACAACATATTAATTTGCATGAATCATATAGCCAATATAGTGAAAATAAAATAAAAAAATTAATCTTTGTACTGATCTGTAAAAATATCATTCGTCCCTGTAGAGCCCAAGAATTCTTGTTGCAATTTTATTTATAAGTCTTTAAGGGTTATGTTGAGTTGTTTGTGGCTGTGAGATTGTGAGAAGAGGGCTTATTAAAATCCATACTTTTAGAGATTCCTTTTGATTTGTATGTCAAGCCCCATCTGTCATCCAAAGGGTGTTTTTTGTTTAATTATCTGGAAACTTTTTACTCTTCTCTTTTATTCTCTTATTACTGAACACAAATGCTCACATTGCATACATGTGCCAAATTACTTTACCAACAGAAGCATTCCAGAACATTTGGTTCAAATTGTTTTGTGAGAACTCTTGTTGGTGCAAAAACCCATAACAAGTTCTTGGAACATTTCCATATTTCCCCCTAAATCGTGGAACACCATTCCTCACGACAGGGAATTGTAGCATGTAAGAAAAGTTTAAAACTCATATTTTTGAAGGATTCTTAACAGCCCCATAATTGATCAAGATTCAGCTGTATTTAAATCATCTGCTTGTGTAAGATTTTTAGTACCTGTAATACTATTTGTCAAATGCTGTGGATAATTAGTGGATATGGCACTGAAGAAGAGGGGCTGGTCACTACACACACCCAAGCATTTTACACACAGAGAGGATTGGTGGAGGGAAATCGTGCCATATGTAACAGGTTGTTTTATTGTTAGATCCATTGGTTAATTGCCAAAGTAGATAATTGAATTTGACAGAAACCAGTTAAAGGCACTTCTGATTTTGCTCAAATGAAACACAATGTTAAGCTAATGTTACAATAAATAAATAATTTATAAGAAATGAAACATCAAGATAAAAAAAGCAAGGAAAATGATATTTGGTAGTAATCACCAGAAACTTGATCAATGTGCATATAAAAAGAAAAGGGAAAAGGGTGAGGCAATTGGGAAAATCATTGATTTTTTTTTAAAGGGTCTAGAGAGATAAATGCCCCTCTTTCGTGACAAACCAGAAAATAATGACTCAATCAAATTAGGCGCATTAAATTGCCTTAAAATGACATTTGTCAATCAGGTTTGATTGGCATCGGGAAAGTATCGGTAATCGACTTATCGCGTCTGTTTGTCATAACAACACCTGTGAGGCGTCACGTGACCGGCAATGCGATAACAAGAAAATGGCGTCAGAGGAGAGTTTGCTTTTCTGTGTTCCTGAATTTTCTTCCCAAGTTTTCTCAGGGCTACACAGCCTTAGAAAAGATGGGAAGCTCTGCGACATTCAACTTGGTGTAGGTGATTTCCATTTGAAGTCTCATCGTGTGGTTTTAGCTGCTGCGAGTAGCTATTTTAATGCCATGTTTACTGGAGACATGAAAGAAAGTCGTCAAGATGAAGTCATCTTGTTCGGCGTGGAATTTTCAGCTTTAGAGGATCTGGTGAATTTCTGCTACACAGGAAGGATTGAAATCAACGTAGATAATGTGCAGAATTTACTATGTGCCTCCAACCTGCTGCAGTTGGCGAGTGTAAAGCAAGCGTGCGTTGAGTTTCTCCACCGCGTTCTTCATCCGACAAATTGCCTCGGTATCCGGTCTTTCGCTGATACATATTCTTGCATAGATCTCGTCAAAGCAGCTGATGTTTTTGCTGTGAAAAACTTCTCTGAGGTTGCAAGGAGTGAAGAATTCTTGAGCTTGGCCCCCGAGGCGGTGGTGGAGATGATCTCGCGGGAAGAATTAAATGTCCGCACAGAAGAAGAAGTTTTTGAAGCAATTTCAGCTTGGGTGAGAAGAGAAGAAGACGAGCGCAAAGATTTCCTTCCAGAATTACTCAAGAACGTGAGACTGCCTTTGATTAGCCCGCAGTATCTATGCGACAAAGTCTCCAGCGACGAGCTGATAAAGAGTAATTTAGCATGCCGTGACTTGGTAGACGAAGCTAAGGACTACCTCCTCATGCCTGAGAGGAGATGTAAGCTTCAGTCGATCCGCACGAAACCAAGGCGATGCAGTGAAGCTGCATGTCTGATTTATGCTATTGGCGGCCTGACTTCCTCTGGGGAGGCTCTTAGCACCGTGGAAACGTACGATACTTTGACCGGACAATGGTTGCCTGGCTTACCTATGAGCACGTTGCGTACCCGTGTTGGAGTAGCTGTCCTAGATAAAAAGCTGTATGCCCTTGGTGGATTTGATGGCCACAAGCGACTGAGCACAGTGGAATGTTTTGATCCACAGTTTCAAACATGGAAGGCAGTTGCTCCCATGAATACACGTCGCAGTGCTCTTGGTGCAGTGGTAGTAAGTGGAGGGATATATGTTGTAGGTGGGTATGATGGCCACATCTCACTGAGCACAGTAGAGTGCTATTCTCCTGCAGTCAACAGCTGGAAGTTTGTAGCCCCAATGGGGACACTCCGCAGTGCTGCTGGTGTCACAGAGTTGAACGGAAAGATTTTTGCCATTGGTGGACACAATGGCTTATCAATATTTAACACTGTGGAAGTGTACAACCCACAAACCAACACATGGGTGCAGAGTCCGCCAATGAGTGTTCGCAGATGTAGAGTTGGTGTTGCCACTTTAAATGGCCGCATCTATGTGTGTGGAGGGTATGATGGCAGTTGCTTTCTCAACACTGTTGAGTGTTTTGACCCTGAGACTGGGCAATGGACTTTTGTAGCCCCCATGAATACTCGCCGCAGTAGGGTAGCTGTGGTGACTCTAGGAGGAAGGTTGTATGCGATTGGAGGCTACGATGGCTTGTCAAACCTTAATACTGTGGAGTGCTTCGATGTACTGAGCAATAGATGGACCCCTGTGGCATCCATGGGCATGCACCAAGGAGGTGTTGGAGTGGGAGTGCTTCCTAGAGGACCATTTTCTTAGGAGATGGTGCAAAAAAAATTCCTTTTTTAAAAGAGAGAATTGCACCTTAAAGAACAAATCTCTTGGCAGATTGGTAGTCAACATTCCTTTCAGAAGAAATCAGTAAATTCATTGGAATAACTTTAAAAGTTATTATTTGCCATGCAAAGGGGATTTAAAGGTTAAATATCATTTACATATCATGTACTCGATTATAATTATATTGCTTCACTTTTTGAAAGTGAAATAAGATTCCCTTGGTAAGTTTGTTATGAGCCTGAGTATTTTCATCTAATCTAAAACCGCAGGTAATTTCACAATTCATTACAGGTACTCCAATTAAATAAAATCATTATTTATTTTTGGCTAGGACTTGCTTTGGAAGCTTCCACTATGTCATGATGGAGTTTAATAAAAATTTAAGTATAAAAATCTTTTTGTTCTTTATGAAGTTGAATTGAATTCGTTATCAGTATATATGAATAAGATTTTTGATCATCCCAGTTTACACAGAGGATTGGTTGGTTAGCAATAAAATTTAATTTTGTCACAACAATTTTTAATTAGTTTTTATGAATACTTTGTTAGGTGGCCTTGAACTGAAAAATAACTTTTCTGGGATCATTAGAAAAGATGACAGTGAACTAAAAAGGATACTGGAGCAATGAGAAAGGATAGTACTGAGGTCGAATAAATATTTGTGTAAAATCCAGAAACTGAAATATATTTATTCAGTCATTTATAATTCACAAGATTTACGTATAATTTATGCTAATTATTCATAGTTTGTTAGGTATGTAGTTTGAAATTATGCTAAAAATACCAGTTATTTCCAAGTTGGTGCAAGAAATTTGTGTATTTATTACAATTTTCACCAGGAAAGCTTGTTTAATTTAAAGGGCCATTTTCATTAATCAGCAGTTTACCTTTCTTATTCTACTTTGGAAGAAAGAGACTTGTCCATCTGATGTGTTCAAGACATGAACAATAAAATTAAAAATGGATCTATATTTAACTTGCTTTAAAAGGACAACCATTCTAAACATACTTTGCAGGCTGGTATGCTCCAAGAAATATATTCAACTGTATCATTCAATATGCAAGGATAAAAGTTTGTTAAATCATGACAATGTTGAACTTGCATACATGTCTTTGAGATGCATAGTAACCAAATTTTGCACTTAATGTCAGGATGTTCTTGAAATACGTTGAGTATGAATTGAGAACATCTTTTTCTTATGGCAAAGTTCAAATGGTTTATAATTAATATCTAAATGTATTTTCACTTGAATAAACCAATATTTGGAAGCATTTAAACTTTGTGTAACATTTTATATCTTCTGTTTGCAAGTGGGCTTTCATTGATGTGTGGAAATAAAATAATGTGGTTTTCAGAAGAAGTTGGCACCCTGGAAGTTTTTATGATCTTTGCCATTAGTTTTCACTAGATAATGAAGTAAAAGCAGACAATGTTCATTACATGATCTCTCCAGCTGAGTGAATCCTCTCTTAACTTGAGCCATTTTATCTAGAATTTGACTGTTACTGCATTGTAGGGTGCACAGTTGACCCAAATTGTCATGTTGTTTTAGAACACCTTTTAAGGAACAAACTCAACAACCAAAAGAAAAGCATGCAAAGTTGGTTGGTCAAACAAGGGCCTTAAATACTTTAATTTGGAATCTTCTGAAAAAATGAACATTCTCACATTGAAGTTAACAGACTATTCCATCTTTCAAATTAATCTCCTCCACATTAAAAAGTTATCTAATGGAATATTAAAATGTGTCTTCCAAGTTAATACATAGGAATTTGACGGATAACTAAGAGCAGTTCTCATCTGAATATCTTGCATAGAGCACTGCAGAGAAAGAAAGGGTACAAATTTCTAAAATTTCAAGTGTGGTCAAACATTTTAATTTCCATAATAAGAAAAATAATCATTTAATGTTTTACATAGTTTCTATAATATTATTTAGTACATATTTCTATATTATACTCTGCTTGCTGACAAACTTTTTACCTCATTACTAAACCCAAGAAATACTTCTTAAAAGCAGAGAAAAAATTTCCAAATAGCTGAGATTCTTTACTTTCAATATGTTCCATGAAAACTGTACAGCCATTTTTGACCTCTTTGTGAGGAAAGCTGCCTACATTCAACTCAAAACTAAGAAGAGGATGGGCAACAGGAGCATTTGCAAACTTCTCACCCTGATTAAAAGATGATTTTTCACATCCTTCTGACAATTGATCAGTTAATTTATCTTTGCTTAAACTTTTGTTGTTTTCATTGTCTTGTTTCTGAGGCTGAAGGGACCTACGCCGTTCTCTTCTACAATGGGTCCACGTATTTTCAAAAGCTTTGCAAACAGCTGAAAACTCGTGGTCATATATTTTTTCTCTCTCTGATTTCCTTGCTTCATTTCTAGTGTCACTGCAACCTGCACCATAGATATGCCCAGAAAGCTGGGGCACCACTGATGTTTTGACATCCTGGTTTTTCCCAGACACACCAGATTCTGCTACACCAGAGCAGGGTACCTTAGTGGAACATTTTACTTCACATTGAAATCCATACTCTCTCTCTAATGTCTCAAGAACAAACACAAAGACTGCATGGGGTGTACTCAGGTTGTTAACACAACCTGTGTCTGTTGCCTGAGAACTGTTGTTTTGATACTGAACAAAGAAATCATGGCGATGAGAATGCTTCCTCCTCTTAGGAGATTTACAAACTGTGAAAAGGTTCAAGAGTTTATTTCCAGAGGGATTTGGATTATCAACACTGTTATTTAAATCCTGGCAAATCATGTGAGCCATCTTCATTAATTCAATCATGTTTTTCAGTGTTTCCATGGTAATGTTCTGTGTCAAGTTATGCACAAGCTCAAAGGGATCCTGGACACACAAAGGGGCAATCTTAAACTCTAGTCGTTTCCCAAACCTTGGACTGGTGTGAGCACATTCCGAGACTGAATTTGGCATTGCGTTCTGCTGCTTAATGGTTTCTTTTGTCATCCTATTAGTATCCTTACTATCATCATTCTTTGTTGACTTTGTTTTACATACTTGATCACTATCAGTTGTGATCATTGAAATGTTGCCATTAGTTTCTGTACATGGTGTAACCTTTAACTCTTCCAACACTGATGCAATACTTGTCTTTTCGCCTGTCTTGATGCTGACCACACAATTAGCAAAGTCAAATTCAATTGAAAAGAAGCAAAAGAACTCTTCCAATAGCTGAACTGTTGAAGAGGCAAAATAGAGAGGTTAACAAGGTAATTCTACTGTCAAGTGTCTTCTTTAGGTGGATGAGCAAAGGAATCATTAGATATATTATATACATTGCCGAGTTTTCTCTTAAAAGATTCAACACTGCTGGCTACTGTCAGAGTATCAACAAATATTTTCAAATGATTATAAGTTTTGAAGATATTTAGGCCAGCAAATCACAATTTTAATGAAAATGATAAACTAGATGTAATGTTTTGATTCCCTTTCAAGCTTATAGTTTGAAAGCTGTCAATATGAAAATAAGATTTTCAGGAGCTTTGCAAACTAGCATTTTGGTGACCATCTCCAATTGTATTAAGAAGGGTTACATGTAAACAGTATGATAATAATATCATGTGTAACTAACCATGGATTTAAAAAAAATTACTATCATATTTCTTTCTGTCACTGTAAGTCCATGGTAGATGGTTTCTCACATGGGCAAAACAATATTTAAAACTCCACCCAGTTAAGTTGACAAGAAGCCAAATAATGTTGACGGGATCTGAAAACTGACTACTTCAAAACATCTGAATACAACTGAAATAAGCAAAAGATCAGACGAAGTGTACTTACTCAGACTTTTGGTATTCTGTGAAGGGGAAAGTTTGGCAACATCTGTGAAAAATGAACAGTTCCAGCTGTCAATAACTTCTGAATTAGGCTCTTTCATATCAAATGAATGTGACTGCTCTCTGATCCATGCATCAAATCTACATTGTAGTGAAGGGATAACCGGTGGATGTTGCATTTGCAAGAAGTGCAGCACCATCAGAGTCAAGGCATAGTTTGACAGCTGTCTACTAGCTGTTATAGCTTGAGCTTTAGCCCAGGCTCTCACTATGAACACCAGCTGAGGAATCCTGGGATCAAGGGATATGTAGCTGCGAAGGAGCTCTGAGTTTCTTACACCAAGCCTGTTGAGAAATCATTGGTATTATCAGTGACATGACTTGATGATGCTGTAACTTTTGTTCTGATTATCCTGATTTATAAGGGCTGTACTAAAATAGGACTGTTGTTATTTGTCACTGTGACAGACTTTTTCTCAACAGGAGAGGAAGTCATAAATCAAGTCAAGACAGAGAGAAAGTCAAAATCAATTTTTTACGACATGGAAAAATTTGGCGTATGAACTGAGAACCAATTTCTAATGGTAAATACTTGGCTCATGTTAGAGAATCCTGTTGTACATTCCAGTCTATATGTGATCACTAAGTATGCATGCACACGTGTAGCTATTCTGTGAAGAAACTCAATCACAACTTATTATAGGGTTTTCCCTGACCCTTAAGAACACATCAAATAGCTACATTTCATACATAAAATTTGAATAAGCAATTGTGCATAGATAAGGCCATTATACATAGATAACACCATTATCATGAACATCACCACAATTATCCTTTGTCACAAGACTTGTCATCATCATCATTCGTGAACTATATCCTATCAGCACCTAAATGGCACTGAGGACTACAAGAACATTTATCCCATAAGGCAGCAGTACAGTTCCTGTTTATAAATTAGTTTTAAGAGAGGCCTTAAGCTACTGTTGCATACAAGCTTTTGCTGATCCATAGCATTGTTAGTTGATAGATCAGGGAAAGCTTGGAAGCTTATTTCTAATGCTACAGTTATAATAGCTTAATGCCTCAGTCAAAACCATAATATAATTATGATACTGGTACTACTGAAGGACAACATGCAACCATTATAATAGTACCTGTTGTTTACTGATAGGTCACATGACAATCCAGAGGGCAGATGTGTGAATTTAATTAAAGGACATTTAGCAGTCAAGACTGGTATGACGTTTGTGCAGCCGGGAGCAAAACTACGCAGTGCATCAACAACTAAAGAGTAATCAACAACAGCATCATCAACTTCAGACGTCAGTAAACACAGATCCAAGTCACTTCCCTTCCATCCCACTCCACTAACAGTTGAGCCAAACGGCACCACAGAGGCTCCTGGATAAACTTCACTCAACACCTCTTGTAGCAGCTGACAAACTAATCGTCTTAATTTGATGTCTTCATCAGTGAGACACAATTGCTGCATCAAAAGGTTCACTTGCTCATCTACCTGACAATGTAAATGCAAGCCAGTTATACTGAAGAAAGGTAAAATGGTTTCCATGTTTACATAGCCCGATGTAAACCTGCAGGAGGTTGGGAGAACACGAGACAAGCGTAGGAAACCACGATGCGAAGCGGAGTGGTTTCCAGCTTATCAAGTATTCAATGGCCAATCAGAGCGCGCGTACTATTTGAATTATTTTATAAAGTGTAATGAAACAATGAGATGTAACATGTGAGTTGTTTCTCTCCTGTGGCTGTCATAAAGTTATTCAATATATCAAGTAGTTATTAGAGGGTTTGAGGTTATAGACATGATACACATGTGTTGAACACCATATTATAAATGCCAGGATAGTTTACATTTTAAGTGCTCCTGAGATTTAAAAATCCATGATCAAAAATTTTGGTAGATCAGTATTGACACTAAGCACCAGCAACTAGTGAAACTGATGAAATGAAAAAGTGGCAATCACTGGCCAGATTTGTAGCTGAGGATCACTCATTAAAGTGCAAAGGGCAAGTAGTATTTGGTTATCTAAATTAAAATAGCAAGGTACGTGTAGAACTCATCTAGTGTTTCCACATACTGTCATCAATGAATTCAGTTTGACAATGAGATCCTTAGATAAAAAGTTTGCCATCTCTTTGCTTCCCAAATGCCCATGATGGTGTTGCTCAGGGTCATCATGACCCCGCTTTTTGGGTTTTTGTATTTTAAATTGATAGCTTGTTTTAGCTGCAGTCCTTTCTTTCACTGTTAAGTGTTTTTTATGCAGAGGTGGTAATGACTGTAGTTGACTCAGCACTTTTGTAACACTTTCTTCACTGTCAAACTCCACTATTGCAAAAACACCCTGGAAACAAAAGAAATTAAGACAAATTTTCATTTACCATCCAATTATCAAGCATTATGGTTCACAAGGGAGAGTTTTATCATAACCCAATATTTTTTACTTAATATTTTATATTTTACTGCTAGCACTCATTTGAAATAATAGCTGTTTCCTAAGAATTCCCTCCTATTTATAACAATAGAAGCTTAGAATGACGTACATTCATTGCCCTGATCAAAAACAACAAGAAAACAATAATTTTATCAAGTTATTAAGCAACTTCCACATTTTTGATAAACTTGAAATATGACTTGCAATCAAAAAGCTTTCTGGGAGCCATTTCAAGGAATTTTAAAATAAAATAAAATCTCTTTCCTGGATGTAAACATCACAAACAAAAAAACATCAGGCCTCCCACAGGATTAACAAGAGAATTTTCTGGAATCAAACCCTTCCAAAATAATCATTTATGAAATTAATTTGTTTATTAATTTCAAGCTTGGATTCCCTCAAATGGCTATAGATGTCACCCTGCCTTTTCTTTTACTACACAAGTATGTCTTCACCAATTAGATCATTCTGTTTAATTAGCCTACAAGTGACCAGCTTGTAATTTTTCCTTTGAATCAGTCAATAAGATCATGAGGATGATGGAAATGATTGCCAATCTATGCATGTGCAGCTTTGATTCTCCTTGTCAGCAAAGTAAATGCATAGAGTGGAGTATGGAGGAAATGGACACTGATATTCAGGTGTAAAGGGTTAAAATACCTTATCTTTATCCAAGAATATGTTCGAGACTTTTCCATACACACTAAAGTATTTTCCTAAATCTTCTTCTATGGATCCTGAGTTTTGAAAGCCTCGAACATAAATACTCCTCCTTGAAGAAGATTCTCTCTCTTGTTTTAACTTCAGTAACCTTTGATGTTTTTTGCCATTGTTGTGGGTTTGGAGAAGCGAAGCTAAGAAATTAATTTTTAAAAAATAAGTGACAAAATGAAAAAAATTTGTTACATGTACCATATAAAATGTCAGTCCTTTCGATTCTGCATTTCTTAAGATCAGGTTACAATACGAATCAAACTTGAAATATAATTCAGCGTGAGGAATTTTGCTAGATCTGGAGCTGCAGACCTGTATACATGTAAATTAATTAGAACTTGCATAAAAAAGTGAAAATCATTTATGTATGGAATTGAAACTTAACCCTTTGCTGACCCTTTAGAGCGACACGTATATTTCTTACAATATTACCCCTAAGTAAAAAATTAAGGTCACAAGACTAAAGAAAATTATCAACAACTTAAGGAGCTCTTGATTTTTAAACCAATTCTCCTTGTAAGTTCCTCAAGAGATGTATAGAGAACAGCATGGAGAATATTTATACTGATGCTAGAGTGTAGAGGTTTAATAAGACGAACGACCTGAATTTCGCGAATTTCACTTCCAAGATAAAAGCTCCACAGCTTACGAGCAAAGACAAGACTTGATTCCACACTGACGCTTACAGAAATAGAAATTCGAATCCGTCAATGAGTGAATTCTGACTGTTAATACAGACGCAGTTAAAACGTGGAAAGCCGTGCATAAATTTTAAAGGAACTGTGGTGCTGCGTCGTTGGGGGAGTATAACAAGATAATTTTGGTGTTATCAACTGAGTTGACAATGTAAATTGGCCACCGCTAAGAGTTTCAAAGCTGACGTCTCTAGCGTTGGCCCTTCGTCAGAGCGAACAACACAAGAAGGAAGAAATCCTTGACTATTAAAAAATTAAGCTTTTATTCATGGCATGCAAGGTTGTCCTCACCTGAAGGCAAAGTTACTCCACAAACATCACAGAAAACCTGCTTTCCTTTTATTTCACCCGCTTCCGCCATATTTTCTTTAAATAACGCGGGCTCTGGTAACGAAGGCTTATCGGACTACTCGATCCAGTCTATTCTCGTCGTTTGCTTCGAACGCCTGACTGTTTTAAACTTTGCTCTGATTCTCTATAACACGTACTCGGTAGTTCTCAAACATGACTACCAACTTGTGCTCTGCTAGGAAAGTTAACGCGTGTGCTGAGAGGGGTAGCAAATACTGGCGATTTTCAACCACTTCGACCTGTTCTTTAAAGAGACGGAGAAGGGAGGAATATCAGAGCTTTCCGCGAAAATCGGCGAAGAAACGTCGAAATACTCAAAACGCTCGTGTTCAACAGAAGCCCAGCAGGACTTCAAAAAGCTACGATAGAGCAAAGAGAAAGCAAAAGCTGCTTAAAAGAGATGAGAACTCACAAAAGCGTGAAACTTACAGGAAAAGTCAGGCAGCTAAAGAAAGAGGTAACTTTCCAACTTGCCAGGCGCTTAATCGACTTGACCGACAGTGTAAATCAAAGGCTCTTGACCAGAGCGACTTCTGCAAAATTCATCAGTTTCATGACAGCACCTCTGGACAGGTTCAGTGTCTGGGAATTAACAAACGATTCAAACAATGTATTAAAAGCATTCCAATAGATGAGAAATATTGTAAATATCACATGAATAAGAAACAGTCCTAGCTTAAATTGATTTCTTTCAAAAAATAAGAAGGCAGTTTTGTTCAGGCAGAGGACACCTTTCACTTTTTGCCCTACTAAGAAAATGAAAAAGACATCTTTTGACTCATCCACCCGTCGCTGTTAACGATTGAGTTACATGGTAACTGGAAAGTTGTACTGGTATGAAGATGCCAGGAAATGTCGGGGATAGTTGAAATTGTACGGATTCTAAAAGAGCGAATCGAGTTGAATATGGACACGATCCCCCCCCCTCAATCCCCCCCTCTCCATCCTTCCGCACGAGTTGTCCATTGCAGGTAACCCACCGGTTCTCAAGCAATTCACCGGCAAGAGTTTGAGTATAATGTATCATTTGCTCAACGTTCTACTTCTCGTTATCATGTTTTCTTGAGTTCTCTCTCACCAGCGTTTAGCCCAACAAAACTAAATGATCTGGCTCCGGTTGTTCGAAGGTTGGATAACGATATCCATCGGTTAATCTCTATCCGGTGGATAGCGCGGTACGTTTGGCTAACACATCTGCTGGATAGCGATGTATCTGATGGATAACGTTATCCGCCCTTTGAATAACTGGGCCCTGGTCAGAGTTTGAACATAGATAAAAAGATAACTTTATTCAGTTAAACACGGTAAAATCCCTCAGCACAATCTAAGAGTATGAAATATTTAATTCTGTCCAGCTAAACTAAATAACAAGAACCAGGACATCTCGATCCCGATTCCAGAGCGGGACTAAAAGGAAGACTGGGTCTTCCACACCCGCATAATTCAACTAAAGAAAAACTTAAAAGGAGGCACGTGCTCCAAAAACCAAATCCAGAACCTTTTGACATTTTCGAATAACTAGATGAATTCTTGACAAAACAAAAGTGACAAATTGTCCTCCGGTGTGCTAGAAATTCGACCACTTATTTTAAATCTTGTTTACACCGGTTTTTTTTTCCCTCTCTGGGTGAACTCTTTCAAGGTAAAAAGGAGTTATCAAAACACTTTCTTGACTGAAACATTGATTTACTTTCTCTGCGATAACCAGACAAGCGACTGATAGCGAACAGCGCGTTTTAGTTTTGAGTTCAAACAGGTAGCTGATTATTTTTTAAAATACAAATGTAATTACAAAAACAATCGAGGTTTACTTGGAATGTTTACATTTAAATCATTGTACCTCTATGAAACGAACCACAAAAACTGTCACGGGTCACGAGCTACGTTAGGAAAACAAAAAAGCGGTGGTTGTGATCCATTTTCTCTCAGTCACACGCAAGATAACAATATCTCTTTTCTGTCTGCCATACATCTCGTGCGATATAACTTCAGAGAATTTGGTATTCAATCAAACGGTTTCTCCAGATAGTTTTCAGTTTTTGCATCACCTGTCTTACTGAATATCTGTTCATTTTGTTAGTCAGTCTTGAGAACGAAGCGGCTAAAACTTAACACCACGAAACTTGTGGTAAATTAACGATGACGTAAAGTGTTCGTTTTCGTATGGTCATCTGACATTAAAAACGTGTTTTACTAAATGCGCATTATTTCACTTTTAAAAAGCGGGTGTATGATATAAAAAGAGATGTCACAGTCATAGATATAACTTTGTCGAAGCAATTTTTCCGAGAGCTTTGAGAAGGACACATTTGTCGCAAGGAGATCACTCATTACAATGTCGATTGAAGACAGATCAATGGACGCTTTGAAAGAGGTAAAGAGTGTTGATTTCTGGGTCTATGTCTGCTCTATCCGCATACCGGCGAGTTTATTCATTCAGTTACAAATACTTACATGGTCCCGGCTTTTCTTTAGTAAAAATTACTCCCGTAAACATTTATTTACATCTTAAACTAAGATTTAAAACAAGTAAAATGATAAAACCAATCGATAGGTTATTTCAAAAAACTAGCTGATGGCTTGAATAATTCCCCTAAATCTGAACAGCTTTCAACTACTATACGATCGGGGTCTGTTGAGGAAAGAACATTGGACTGGTTGAGAAAAGTAAGAAATAAATCTCGCTTCATCTCACGCATTTCCGAGTCAAATTAAATCGAAATCAGGTCATTAGGATTTAACGATGGAGTTATTTGGGTTTTTTTTTTTCATTCGATGACTTGGTGGAGTTTTTTTTTTGTTATGAATCAAGTTTTAATATGCGAAACCAAAAGTTATGACGCCACCTTGTTTACGAATCTTTGAAAGAATTAAACGGAGAACTACAACGTTATAATTTTGGTTTCAGGAAGTTCATAGCCTTTTTATAGAAAGGAAAATAATATTAAGTTATTAATAAATTAAGTGCTTCTGATATGTAATATGGCGTATTTTCCTTGTAAATCATGAATTCGTTCGTAAACAAAGTTCGTAAAACAAAAGTCGTTTTCATGACTACTCTCACCTTGACAATAAAGTGTAAACCAACTGGTAAGTGAGATCATTTCAGTTTTATCGAGAGTTAGCCCTTCGTTTTTTATTACTGCAGAAGATGCATATGTTATTTATAGGCCGTAGGCCCCAAGCAGCACTTTCAAGACCTCGGTCACAGTTTTTCACCATAAAGACCGACCCTTAGCCGGTAAATGACATATATTTTTTTAAAATTTAACGAAATTCTTTCCGAAAGAACCCGAATGATATAGGGCTGTAAATACCGCAAGACCTTCCATAAACTGAACAATTTTTGAGCGAGTAAATGGTAGTTAAAATAGAGGCGATATAAATTAAAGAGAGATGCTTCACCGAAACATTTTCATTTACGTAATGATAAAGGTGATTTAAAAGGCTTCCGAACAAACTTTGAAATATTATTTTTACAAGTATCTGTTACAATCTGACACCTGTCAATAAGAGAGCGCGTAAGAAAAAAAAAGCGCATATACACTTTTGAAAAAACAACCAAACTAGTTTGGCAAGGACTGTCACGACAATGATTTCTTCAAATTAAGTCAATGATCTTACGGAAAGTATTATTCACTCTAGTCGACGATGGATTCATGTAAGAAGCTTTACCTCTGTTGATGAAGTAAATTGCGAGGAAAGTAATTGTAAGTAAATTCAAATTTTTTTATTTTGAAGTTGTGAGAGTTTGTTCGTTTGTTTTCTGAAATGGCGTGTGTAAATGTGGTCTTTCCTCCACAAAAACTGAATTTGAATGAGACACTTCAACGAGACTCAAGGGGATTTAATGCGGCCTTTCCTCATTGAATTCTTTCAGTTTCTGTTGTACAATTTATGATACAAATGTCCGAATTGAACGGACTTGGAAAGACTCACCGAGAGCGTGTATTTGTTGTAGAACTGAAAACTTCGCTCGCCCTTTTAATACGAACAAATTGTTTGAGGGAATTCAGATATTAAATGAATGACAGTTCCATCGATAAATTCAATTGTAACCAAATACCTCACGTTTTAACTTTCTAGGTACTTTTTGTGAAGGATTGAAATTAATTACAAACAGGTTTTAAGCCGCTTGTCAATCAATTTAATGTATCTTTAGCTTATACAAATTAATTTCGAAACCAATATTTTCCTGTTCACCAAAGTAATTTGAGAGGGAGAAAAGAGAGGATGAATAAGTTAGTGATCGGCCGGAAAAAACGAGATATAATTATGAAAAATGGCAACGAAGGTAGGAATGTACTCGGCGACTCACGAAAGCGTTACCGTTGCCCGAAGGCAGAGATAGGAAAATACGGATTGCGCCAAGAAACAATCAGATTGCAGGATTCGTTACCGTGCCCTCTGAGAAAAAAATTAAATTGGGATATCATGTCGAGTTCAAATTCTGCCTAGTTTCCAAGCCCCCCGTCCGTGTGGTGATCCCTGAGAGAGAAGCGTATTCTTTTGCTGATTGTTAAAAAAAAATTAATAAATCAATTATTGAATTCGTTTTTCGCATGATATCATGAATTATTACACCTCGTGAGCTTTTGGTCTAAGCCGATAACTCAGACCTTGGCATCTATAATTCATGATATCACGCTCAACCTTATCCAATAATTGCCTATTATAAACTCAGTTAGTTAATACAAGCAAATCATCTTGTAATAGCCTCCATCGACGCAGCACCACAGTTTTCGATCTTTAGAAAAGGTGCCCCTTTATCAACCGGTGATTGCATTCATTGACAATGTCCAGTATGTGACAGCCCGCCTACAGAAATACATGTAAATTCGCAGAATGAACTTTCATTGAGCGTAGCATTCCAATTGCCTTTTACCTATGGCTTACGTTCTTTCACCAACTGTACACAGTATGTTGTCTACTGTCCATAGTCTATAAATTTCCGTTTCCATTATTCGTTGTTGCAGGAAGGCACTACTGCAGTCATAGATGGAAGTGACTATGAATGGTCAATGCGCCAAAATACAAGGCTTTATTCAATGAATGAGGACGGCGGTGCCAAAGGTCACTACTTGTACGTCGATGAGAACGGTTCGTTGAAAGCAGATGGAGGAGAAAATAGCGCAAGTGAGTAAAAGAAGGGGAAATGGTTTTTAGGAGATTACTCGTCAAAAAAATATCGTCCTTCCCTTAAGTTTGCGGAAATATCCGCATGTGAACTTTTAGGGGTGTTTCTTGGATTAGGGCTGTTAACCGGCAAAGATGAAAAATTCGTATTGTTTACAAATACAGAGAGAAAAACCGAGTATTACTTGGTTTTGGTTATGGCATTTCTCGCGGCTGAGAACGGGAAATTGGCATCTGGAATGTTTGACAAAGGCCGTGATCTTCAAGATCACGGCAAGTTGCCCGTCTTCCTGACTAGATTTTTCTTCTGTCGGTAAAGAAAACGTCGAGAATTTTGTGGAAAGAAAGTTCCGCCCATTGTTTGTTTTTGTAATGATTCAACACACTTTTTCATGTTGAGTTTTATCGCCCGAGCACTTTCCGACTATTTTTTTTTTTTCGCGGATTGAATTTGTTAATAGAGTCATCTTTTCTTGTCAGTAAATACTTATTGAGTTAACTTCAAACAAATAATACACGGTTGCTTTTAGATAGAGAACTTCTCTTCTCGTGTTGAACTCGTTATCTCACTCGTGAGATATTGAGTTGAACACGAGAAGAGAAATTCCATATCTATGCGCGCCCATGAAAAATTCTCAATTTATTAATATTATTTGTGGAGGCGCGGTGGCCTCATGGTTAGTGCGCTCAAATCCGGTTCGGGTGGTCCGGGTTCGAGCCCTGGCCGGGGTCATTGTGTTGTGTTCTTAGGCAAGACACTTTACTCTCACAGTGCTTCTCTTCACCCAGGTGTACATTAATGGGTACCAGCAAATATGCTGGGGGTAACCCTGCGATGGACTAGCATCCCATCCAGGGGGGAGTAGCAATACTCCTAGCCGCTTCACGCTAAGAAACCCGGAGTTAAGCACCGGCCCCATGGGCCACTTGGGCCCGTATAAAGGCTTACCTTACTTATTATTAATATTATTGTTATTATAATCAGCATAAGGTTTGTCAATATTATTCATATACTTTTGAAAGCGTGTTCTTGGAGCTCCGTTAAGCCGGATTGTAGCAATAACCAGTGAATCGCCAACTAATGTGTGATTCATGAAGGGCAATGAATATCAGTGTTTTGTATACCATGATGGCTCTCTATTATATGCTACAGGTACTTTCACAGTCTACACTCTCTCGGAAGATGCTGATTTAGTTATGTTAAAGGTCGAAGATTCTGCGGATGCTACTGAGAAATTTGTGGCTGTAGATACAAACACTGACACTGTCATTGTAAAGGTGCGTAACTGAAACGATTGCAGTCGGCTAGAAATTTCATTATCTCTGGTCCATTGATCGATGAGATTTAAAAATTTTTAATGAAATACAACCGTTTGTCTCTCGATGAACTCCATTCCGATGTGGATCGCGGTGTTTTGACGGCATACTGCGAGTCTTCTTCAGGCCGGCGATGTACAAGGTGACGCCTATCCAGTCGCCTATGAAATGATTAAACTGTGAGACAAACGACTGTAATTCCCCACAAATACGATCAATAACGATAAGCTTTTTTACAATGTCAACTTTTTTAGATGATATGGAAGATCAGTAAAACTTACATGTCATCATGATCACAATTATCATCTAACTGACATCTGTTTCAACACTTCAACTGCCAGGAAATATTAACATTTCAACTCTCTTCGCGATGTCATTAAATTATCTAGATCTTTCGCTTATGCATGATTTAAAACAGATTGAGTTACGTAGTGACTGTAACTGGCATTGATAAAATTAAATTGCTCAAGTTTTAATCCAATGTAGACTTTCAAAATGAAGAAGAGAATTACAGCGTTCTCACGTCAATTCTTGCGCATAATTTCTCAGGGCTCAAAATGCTCTGATTTTGTACTTTATGTGTTATCTATTCTGACAGGCTCTCCCCTCAGGGACTTTAGGAAAGTTGAATAACTCGAAGAAGGCCAAAAGTTCCCAGTCTGACATTCTGTTCTACAAGATAGCGCGCGAACCAGGGTCTACTCAGTTTTACTTGAAGTCCTATTTGAAGTCAAGTCTGAAAGACTCGATTAGTGTTGATCGAATCGTTGGTTTTGACCATGACGGCGTTCCAATTAAGACTACTGATGTACAGCAAGGTTTATTAGAGAGTCTCTTCAAGATATACTGAGCGCTGGCAACTTTTCTTAATTTCTAACGTGATTATTATGATAAATTTCTTTTTAACTATGAACTTCTCTGGTGACAAAGGATTAATTTTAATCCATGAATCAATGAAACGCATCTTAGATAATTGTTTAATAAATTTCTTATGAACTATATACTAAATTTGGAACTATTTTGAATAAGTGTTAAGAAATTTTTTAGGCCTTTTAAATTATCTTGAAATCCTTCAGTTATGAGACGGTACTAGTCTTGTGAGTCTAGGTTTGTCATGTGCTGCAAGACCACACACTTGTCTTTACCCAGTTTGGAGTGATGTGTTTTTGACCGTTGTAGTGGGGCTTAATTCTCGTACGATAAACGTCATCGCTGGTCGTTTTTGTGCTTGTCTTTGATCTTGCTTAGAGTCCTCAACAGGAAGATTTTTTTGGGTTTTAGTTCTCGAAGATTGGTTGTTTTTTTTAGGTGCTTTGTTGTTCATTTGGAATGTCTCGTGAAATTGTTTGGGTTAGCGTTCTAACTATATTATTTGAAATAAGTTTACTCTGTTTTAGTTTTCCGTAAGCCCAAACATGTTTACCGGTAGGATATTTAAGAGCGTGTTCTTAAGGCAGAGAAACAGAGACAGAGACAGAAAGAGAAAAGATAAAACAGAGAATAAAAAAAAGTTGTTGATGTGACTCTTAGTGCCTTCATTTGCGCGAGTGACCTGAAGCTACTTAACCCCATCAGTCCAACAAGCTGTTACAAAGAGCCTTGTGTTGTTTGTCTTAAGAATCTTATCATGCAAATATGGACACTAAGTTGAACCTAAAATATTTATGTTGTATTATCTTTAACTAGTGTTTGAATCACAAAAAATCGACTAACCATTATACTGATAAAGAATGATTTTTTATTCGAACAAAAAATTAGACGCTTTTTTACTTAAGATTAGACTCGAAACCTTCTACCTTTCTTGAGCATAATTTGTCAGGGCTTAAGCTATTTTCATTTTGCACTCAATGTGTTGTCTATCAGTGATAGACTCTTCTTTAAGAGACAACTTTAGAACAGTTCAATAACTCGAACAAGGCCAAAAGGTCCCAGCCAGACATTCTGCTCTACAAGATAGCGCGAACATAAAAAAAGGACGGGAGTTACTTGGAGTCATCTCTGGACGACAAACAACAAACATCAAATCGATGGATTTAACAAAGATTGCAGCCCAATGCTTGATACTGATATTTGTACCGCCCAGTCAATTAGCAAGTCTCTTCAAGATGGACCTCCGTAAATGCTCTAACGATCGCGGCGACAAGTAATTACACATAGTTGCAAATTTTCTATCCACGAATCAATGAAACGCATCTTAGATAACTGGCCAATAAACTGTTACAAAGAACCCTATAAATGTAGATTGCCTCAAGAGTCTCAACTTAAGTGTTATTTTAGTAAAAAGAACAACAAGTTATTTAGTTTGTCCTCTTCGTGCATCTATGCACATAGGGCCTCGGTCAGAGAACGCCATTGATAATCCTAACCCTCCCCTCCCCGTTCCCTCCTTACGCGTAGATCCTTCAAATGAAAATACAATAAGACTGACATTTCGAGCGTTAGCCCTTCGCCAATCGCTCCGACGAAGGTCTAACGCTCGAAACATCTGCCTCTAAACTCTTTACGGTGGTCAATTTACGTTTTCAACTCAGTTGTTAACACTTAATTACCAGTTTTACTCTCCCACCGACGCAGCACCACAGTTTCTTTTAGAAACATACTCCATTACAATAAGACATAGTCACGCTGGGAGAGCGTGCGTGACTCGTCGTTTTAACTTTTACCAAAAAAGCAAAAAAAAATTCAAACATCATTTTGATATTCATGTTTCAAAGATATTTCAAGTTTATTTTCTAACAGGAAAGTACAAACTTCTAATTGACTTTTACAACAAAGAAGAAACTATCATTTATTTATTGCACACAATTTATGCACAAACCACAAGGACGGACCAGATGAAACGGGGCCTTGTTTGACAAAATGTCAGGTTCCTCTTCTTCTTTGTCTTCGTCTTCCTTTTTTTATTTCATTTAGCCCGTGTCAGGTGGGCATTGAGAAGGACCAAGTCAAAATTTTGTGAATCTGCAAAAATTTATCCTAAATTTTATAACCTCATAACCTCTACCCGGTTCATTCTTTTTGGTTTATTCCTGGTATTTTCTTATGTAGCAACTCATTAAGAAGGATCTTGCGCTTGTTGAAGATAAATTTCTGCGTATCTAACGAATAGAAATATTCTGATGAAATTCCTATGTGATAAAAATACTGAACAATTCATAATTCCGATTTACCGGTCCTGGTAGGTGCCCTGTGTCAACACTGGTTTGAGTACCTTGGGTAGGATTTCTCTCAAGCCACCATTAACTAAACTTGGAAACTACTTGGAAGATGAATTTCTTAGCCCGAAGAGATATTTGAGACCTTCATGATAATTTCCACTAAAGATAAAATAAATGCAAGGGTTTACAGCACAATATGAGTGATTAAGAAAATGAGCAACATATGCGAAGTATTTAAAACCGCAAGACTCAATCATGGAGATGTTCGGTGGAAAAAAGAGAAATAACAAACGTATAGTGAGGGGGATTCGGCATATTGTAAACCCCAGAACGATAGCAATGGACATCTTCAGCACTTTCAGTTCCCTTTTTACTCGTCGTTTAACGGCATTAGCCGATTGCTCGCCTGGAGTCGTCTGGGGCTTGAGTTTTAAAATGATTATGAGGTAGAGTAAAAAAATCAGACACAAAGGAATATAGGCAAGTGAAATACAAGCGCCCAGAATGTAGTTTTTTAGGGACAACGTATCTCCGAGGGCTTCACTCCACTGTAGTGCACATTTTGTTCCTTCCGTATACTCAACGAGTGAAAAGGCGAAGAGATATGGTAAATGAAAAGCCAATGAGATTATCCAAGTGGCAAGAAGGAGGAACCGGCACAGCTTTGAACCGATAAATGGAGTTCGAAGAGGAAAAACGACAGTTCCAAATCGATCCACTGCTATCAGAACCAGGCTTTGAATTGACACAGAAGTGGAGACATCTGCTATGAAGGGAACAAGCTTACACAAAGTCTCGCCAACATCACCACTCACTAAACCAGAATGAAGGAAGACCTCTGTTAAATTCTTCGGAAAAAGGAATATCGGATAAAGCAGATCGGACGCGGCCATGTTTACGATTAAAATGTTTGTGGCTTTTCTCACGGTTTTCGTCTTAGGCACAATTATCACGATGAAGCTATTTCCAACCAGCGAAACTACAAACAAGAGGCAGTAAGCGATTGTTTCTCCGATTCTACGTGTAACAGGATTGAAGCAAAGCGCCAGAGGCATAACCGGGTGTGTTCCATTGATCGATGTGTTCTCGTTTAGCGACATTTCTCTGATATTGGCGGTTACTTATTTGGCGAGCAGTTCTCACAGGTTGAGTTTTACCTGACCTGATATCCTGAAGAAAAACTTCAACTTCTATATTCTTTTCAAGACGTGATCTGAGTTTAATGAATTTAAAGCAAAGTACGATAACGCACGCGACAAACAAAGCAAACCTCACGTGAGAAGATTCAATTTAGAGCTCTATTCATTTATTGTCAGTCAGTTTCCGTTAAAGATGTCTGCATCGGGTGAAAACTAAAAAGTGAACAAAACATCTTTGGCTGTATGTTAGAGCTGAATGAAGGATAGAAAGTTTCCAAGCTTTGCCTGCTATGAGAGATAGTTTTACCGAAATTAATCGCAATCCTGGCTTTATTCACATGTAACGAAAGCGGAAAATTTGCCCGCGAAAACATTTATCTATCGACCATGTCAAGCAAGTTTCAAATAACTGATCATGAATTATCATCTGCCTAGAATTATATGACACTAGGCCCTACAGTTGCCACACCAACTGAATCTTCTGAAACATTATGGTAACTTCATCTTTGTTTTTGTCGGAAATAGAAAGAGAGAGTTTCGCGCGCATTAAACGTGAGGATTGCACGCTAACAGGGCGAGTTAAAAAAGTCTTAGAAACTTTTATCAAAGAAATTTAGCATACAGAATAAAAAAAGGAAACGAAATAGTATATATAGGTTAGGTTTAAAGTACACCAGATATTTTCATGTCCTAGGCTATCATCATGACTTAAAAATGAAAAAAACTAGAGTGTTTTCACCTAAAGATATCATTTTGATCACACTTAAAATAACAATCGTATCGATTATCATATCCGTTAACGATACTTCCTGGTTTGCCCAAAGCACGTTCCCCCTGTGGGCAAAGTCTAGAAGAGATAGATCAGTAGTTCCTTCTTAACATACCAACTGTAGACAGGTTGTGAAAATGGGGAAGTTATCCACTGGAGGATAATTTCGTCTTAACAACTCAGAAAGTATTAGAGGTAACTATCTGAAAAATGCGTAACAGTCAACGATAACAATTGGCATTAAGATCTTGAGGGAGTGTGCTAATTGAGAATAAAACTTGCTTAACATAAAGAAGATAAAAGAGCGTATCTTGCTCGTTCAATTCATCTGGGACTTGAGTTTTAAAATAATTATAACGTAAAGTAAAATAGTAACAAAGAGAGGAATGAAGAAAATTAAAATAGAACCAGCACAGATATAGGTTTCAAAGGGAAAGGAATCCTCAAAAGTTTTCTTCCACTGTAGTTTACACTTTTTTTCTTCCGAATGTTCCATTAGCGAAAAGGCGAAGAGATATGGTAAATAAAGAGCCATTGAGATAGTCCAAGTAGCGATAATGGAGAGAGCGCAGAACTTTGAGCCGAGTGGGGAACGGAAGGGAAATACCACTGCTCTATATCGTTCCATTGCTATCAAAACCACGCTCAAAATTGACACAGCGTTGGAGGCATCTGCTAAGAAGGGAACCAGCTTACACAGTGTTTCTCCAAGACGACCGCTGACTGACCAGAAGTATTGTCCTCGATATAGCTGCGTCAAGTTGATTGGAAACAGGAAAATCGGATACAACAGATCGGATATGGCCATGTTGGCGATGAAAAGTTTGAAAGGTTTTCTCAAGGTTTTCGAGCTGTAGACTGTGATCCCCATAAAGATATTGCCAGCCAGCGAAACAATCGATAACAGACAGTAAGCGAATGTTTCTCCGATTTTTTGCGTCGTAGGATTGATGCATTGCGGTGAGGTTATAGCTGAGTGTGTTCCACTCAGAGATGTGTTCAAATTCGCCGACATTTTTCCTGTACTGACTGTTAAGTACTTAGCATGACGCTCTCTCTTATAGTAAGCCGTTTACCAGACATGACCATACATTATAAATATACAAGCTGTCGTAAATTTTAGTCGTGATCTGAATTTAATGCCTTAAGCTGCAAGTCACATCATGCATATGTAAAGCACGAATGTGGGTTTATTCTGAAACAAAAATTGCTTGTTTTAAGTTCGCATGGGAATATTTTTTCTGACGGAAAAAAAAAGTTCATCTTTCGATTTAACAAATATTGGTGTCAATAAGCGAACTTTGCTAAGAATTCACAAGGCTATCCATTTTAAGGTCAGCTTATCAACTACATATCCATATTATCTTCTTGTTTTCATTAACTTCTGACTTCTTGAATGACAGATACATGTTTCTGTTGAAATGTGAAAGTACTTACTAACCATCGTGTATA